AAGAGATACAGGTGTATACTGATCAATAATCTATAAAGATACAGTGCTGTATACTGGATCAATAATGGCCTATAAAGATACAGTGTATACTGATCAATAATCTATAAAGATACAGTGACAGTGATCAAATTAAGCTGTACAGTGACTCAAATAAGTGTACAGTGAGCGTCAATAACGTTAGTTCTGATCAATCTAAAGTGTACAGTGATCAGATAGAGTGTACAGTGATCCAAGTAAGTGATCAATCAAGTGTACAGTGATCAATAACGTGTATTGCTGAATCAATAAGTGTACAGTGATCAGATCAAGTGTACAGTGATCAATAAGTGTACAGTGATCAATAAGTGATCAATGAAGTGTACAGTGATCAATAAGTGTACAGTGATCAAGGTAAGTGTATCTCTGACAATAAGTGTACAGTGATCAATAAGTGTACAGTGATCAATAAGTTGTACAGTGGGATCCAATAAGTGTATTCTGATCAATAAGTGGTAACAGTGATCAATAAGTGTACAGTGATCAATAAGTGATCAATAAGTGACAGTGATCCAATAAGTGTAACAGTAAGCACATAAGTGTACAGTGATCAATAAGTGATCAAAATGTACAGTGATCAATAAGTTGTACAGTGATCAATAAGTGCATCAATAAGTGTACAGTGATCAATAAGTGTACAAAGTGAATCAATAATGCGGTACAGTGATCAATAAGTGTACAGTGATCAATAAGTGTACACCGTACCTCCTCTCTGGATAGGATCTGGAACCCTTCTGGGTTCGTCTGCACCGCTCTCGTTCTGGTTTCTTCTTCCTCTCCTCTTCCTCACTCACGCTAGACAGTATTCAGCACTGATCAGACAGAAAATATCAGAACCATAACTTCTTACTGTGGTTTCTTCACACCTGCCTGGTCCAGACGCTGGTCTGCACACACACCACACACACACACACAAAACAAACAGTAGAGTGTCCCACACAGACGACACACACACACACCACATAGTATACACACACAACACACAACTGTAAACACAACACACCTGAGTATAACACAACACAACCACAGATAAACAACACACACCCCAACAGATATACACACACACACACACTGTATAAAGATCTCAACTCTTCCTCACAGGTTATGTTTATATATGCAGATTCCATGTCAGTGAGTAGTTTGTCTTTTGATCCTAACTCTTGCCCTTCACAAGGTTAGTTAATGACAGACAGGTCAGTGGTGATGTCTTGTGTTACCATACTCATTCCTCATCAGGTAAGTAATGCATGTTACTGAGTCTAGTGGTGGGAGCATAGATTGTGTCCTGTAGATTGATTAGACAATCAGCAATATAAAGCTTTTCCTTCCTTTAAAAACAGCCAGTTATTTGAATGGAAGTATGGAGTTTGGTGTGACAGTGTGGAGCAGAGGGGATTTGAACCTTAATAATTCCATAAACTGAACAGTAAATAAATAAATAAGTACCCGGACGGGCTGCATTCATTCATTCTAGCAGAGCGATATCATGGTAAGACGTCTTTGGATTTCAGCTGGAAATATGTGGTTGAGGTCAAGTTTATTTTTATTACATATATATATATAATAATAAAAATAGTAATTATTTATTTAATGGGACTTTATCTGTCCTCCGCTCGTTAAACCACAACCACCTCTTGTCACAATCCAATCAACGATGCGACTTTAATACCTCTGATATCCTGTTTCACTCTGTAATACGTCTTTATGAGTGGATATGTTCGTTGGCTAACGTTACTGCAAAACTTGTGGAAGATACCGTCTGATTGTGCTTTTAGCTTAATAACATTAACTTGTCTATCTAGCAAACAAATTGCTAAATACTACACGAGTGGATGGATGCGGGTGCAGGCGCATCGAGAACTGTTGCTAAGCTAAGCTGTGTAATGCAGCCACACAAAACAACACACACACAGAGAGTGTTTGATAAAAAACTTGTTTTCTTATCTTAGTTTGGGTTTATTTATTGTACATGATTACAGTAGAGGTCACTGGAGGGGGAGATTGAGGGGGGAGTCGGGGAGGGTTTAGAAGTAGTTGACGACCCTGCGGATGGACTGGATGTTGGGGTTCTGGGCCTGCCACTCATTATGGCTGCAGTAGTATCCACGCTCCATGATGTACATGCGGCCGCGGAAGTTTGGCTCCTCGTACATCACCCAGCTGCAGACGGACGGACAGACGGAGACATTCAGATCATTTCAGACAATTAAGAAGCTGTAAATGTTTTGCTTGAACTCGTGATTATTGTATGTGTAGTGTTGAACTCACGCTCCGTCTCCGTAGACCCTGACAGAGTTGATGCAGTTCTTGGAGAAGCCGCGGCTCTGCAGGAAGGGACAGTCATCGCAGATCTCCACACACTGACCGGAGAAGTTACAGGCCTCGAACAGCTCGATGCGGTAGTGCTCTCCATGCTGACGGACGGACAGGAAAGAGGACAGACGGCCGAAGCAAAAGATAAAGTTGGTTTTTGAGAGACAGAAATGATGCATCACCATGACTGCAGCAAAACTTTATCAAACGCTACAAGAACTCTCTAAAAGTCTCTAAAGGGGAAATGTGTAAATGTTTCTGTATGTGATTGAAGTAACAGTTGACTGGGCTGCAGTTTCAGGAAGCTTGTCAGCTACACCAAAGATTTTAATGATTAAATAATGTTTTAATTTTTAGTTAAATCTTCAATTGAAGGATTTAGTGGCATATAGTTGCAGATTGCATTGTCTCTATTTGAGAACCTGAGAGAGACAACCGGCTGTGCTTCATCTACGGGCCACATGATGACACACAGCCTGTTCCTGTTTAGCTCTCCGCTAACTAAAATAGGGATAAAATGTTATCGGACCAAATTCTGACAGTGAAGTTTCTGTAGAGACTTTTACAGCCGCTTCTTTCACAATGTGAGTTTATGGGAAGAAGCATTTTTAGGTATTGCCATCACAAGACGGACGCCATCGCTGTACACGGATCAACCGCTGTGTCAATCCGGCCTCACAGAGATGTTTACCATGCGGATGGGCTTGCAGGATCCCATGTGGTCGTTGTGGGAGTTCCACCTCTGGAATTCTGGGTATTCTCCGTGCTCCAGGATGTACTGCTGGCCCTTGAAGTCGGGGTGGTCGTAGCAGATCCAGGCTCCGCTCTCCACGCGGATGGAGTTCACCCTGTAAACACACACCGTAAGGACTTTATTTGGTGTTACTGCAAACCTCCTCCAGGTTTACATGTCAGCATTGACAGATCAATCAGATCAATCAATCACTGAGATAATCAGAGTATGAAAATACTGTTTCTGAAATTAGATTGTAAATGCCTGCTGGTGATCATCAATATAAAATGAATATATAAAGTCAATATTTTACACACAGTTCAACATTGTAAACATCCTGTGAGTTTAGTTCTGATTGGAAAAACTATTTCTGATCAATAGTCAGATCTGTTATGTCATGCACATTTCTTGCATTGGTAGCGCCCCCTAGTGGTGTATCTGAATGAAACTTTCAGGGTGTGTTTCAGGTCCTTCTATGGACGTATGCTGTGAGTTCTGAGATGATCGGTCCAGCAGTCGTTCACTTCTGTCTGTTTATGTGAGGAACCACACCCTCTCTGAAGCTCACTGGTCAATATGTTGAACACTAAATTAGTTATCAATAAGCTTAATGCAACTATTGATCAGCTCCAGCCAATGAGGATCCGCAGAAGGTAAGTGGCCTTTATAAAACTGGATGTTTCTGGAGAAGCACATTCTCATCAGCTCCTGTTACTGGACCAAGTTTACTGTTTCTAGATGATTCCAGCTCACTGCAGTTGGAGCTTTTGCTGCAGACAAATAATAAACACCGAACATGGCCTCCACAATAACACTGTCCGTGTGAGCCGTAAGGAACCAGTTTCTTATAAAGCTGAGCTCAAACTCATTTTCCTCTCACCTGTTCATGAAGCCGCGGTCCTGGAAGTTATCACAGTCCCCTCTGACCTCCAGCTTCCTGCCGGTGAAGCATTTTCCCTCGTAGAAGGTGATCTGGAGGAGGAAATAAACATGTTTCACTGTGTCGGCCATGTTTAACGAGAACACTGGTTTTCTTCCACCAGCATCCAATTTTCTGAAGCTTGTCCTCGGTGGGGAGGAGATTCGACAGCTCGGCAATAATTTAGTAGATTAAAGGTAAATCAGATGTCAGGTGAAGTCAAGGGTCAGATTCACATTTATTTAACTCCTGACCATTGAAGGAGTACCAACAAAATAACATATAATCCAGTGGTTTCCAACCTGGGGGCCAGGACACCTGGGGGTCAACAAAGCTTCCCAGGGGTCGCAAGAAGCTTTTGATTTTACTAGAAAATGTATAATATATACACAGTCGGCCTAAATCTCAGCATTTCATTCAAGACGAAAACTAAATGAAACTGTTATTATTAAAGTTTAGATTACACTATAAAAGTTCATTTAACTCTAAACAATTGTTGAAACTGATTTCATTGAAAATGTTAAGTTACACAAACTCAGCTTTCTAAGTTAAAAAACATTCTTGATCAAGTAGCTTTAGCTTTAGACACTGACTTCATTTGGACATTTTTATTTTCCACTGAAAAAAAAAACAAAATTGAGTTTGTTTCTCATTAAAGTGAATAATTTAATATCTGAACTCTGATGAGCTGGCGTCAAGCATCAGGGAGAATAAAACAATCAACTGGTTAAAAAGCAGCTTATTAAGTCTCTGTGATTGTTGCAAGTATCAAAAAACAGACTGAACTGTATAAAAAGTAAATCAATCAGTATTCACAGGAAATAATCCAAACTTCCGGTTGTACACCACTGACCACACCCCTGAGTACACTACACGAGAAGATTAAACTGAAGCTCATTCTCTTTAGTCAAGTCAAATTACTGGTTGTTTTTACAAGGACACCAAAATCCCCAATATGGCGGCGGTTCAGCAGTTCATTTTGAAATCAGAATATTTCCCTCAGAACTACGGCCGCTCTGCTGTTTCCCCCAATCAGCACCAAACTCCATTAAAAAAACAAGCGATTTAAACGATGCGGACTCAGGAGGAAGTAAAGGTTCAGAGGGTAGTTTGTAGTAAAAAGGTAAACACGTGTTAGTGGTTTTACCAAAGGACCCCGATGATCTACCAACTAGTCAAAGCTTTCAGTCTCCAGATGTTCCACCAGCTGCTTTGTTACTCACCTTTCCAGAGTACTGCGACATTTTTGCCCACTGGATGTTGTCCAACCTGGCCCACAACCACACACACAGTGTAACAGAGAAAAAGTTGGACACCCCAATATATACGGCAGGGGGGTGAGCGAGGGGCGAGGTCCCGGCAGGCCGGACAAAAGGTGAGGCTTTAAAAGTTTCTGCTGCCTCGACGCTTTCCCTTCATCCTGATGTGTCTGCTGATTCTGCTGTGTGTGTGTGTGTGTGTGTGTGGACTCAATAGAATGTGCTTGGCCGGAGCTTTACGGGGTCAATGATATTGCACATGCCACGCTTCTATAGAGACAGAGAGACACAGTGAAAGGAAGCATACAAACATCTGATGGCCGTATAACATTATTACATTATATAGATACTCTCTGGGTCCGTTATCCATCAGTGAGTAAACTTCAACAAATACACACAGCTGATAAACAACTGCAGGAAGTTTGTATAAAACCAGAGATTTGATTATTTCCTGTGAATATTGATCAGAGATTAGTTTTTCTGATATTTTGAGGAACTTTTGATACACTCTTCTGTCTGCATTAGGTTTTTTTTTTTATATTTTTAACAATCAGACTTAATAACTTGCTTTTTAACCAGTTCACTGGTTAAAAAGTTTGAAACTGTTTATATGGAACATTTTTAGTGACACAAACTCAATTTTAAAATTGTTAGTTAAAAAACATTATTGATAAACTAGACCTCCAAACACTATGATTTGTCATCAACTGAAAAGATGGAACGTCTCCTATTAAAATCACGGGGGTATGTCTATGAGCATGGCGACAAACCTGGATGGCTATTAGCACACCAACTTAAGTGCTGCGCCGTGTCTCAACAGATTCCACAAATTCTTAAAGATGATGGTGAACTAACTATTGTCCCAGAGGAAATTAACGAAACATTCACC